GGAGAATTAAAAAGCCTTCCCCTGGTGCTTCAATGACAATAAAGATTGTGCCAACTAAGCTCTTGGTAGATTCCACAAACAGGGTACCAACACCGAGCGAAACCCTTTTCATATTCTAGGACGTGCTGAAGCAAATGCTGTCTTAATTTTTGCAAAAAATGTAACAACCACACACAAAAACGGTACAATATTATCAGGTTTTCCTGTGGGGAAATTGTCTCCAAAATATTCAGAGAAGAGAGGGTGCAACTTCTTTCTCTCTCTCTTTCTTTCTTTCTTTCTTTCTTTCGTATATGAGGTGGCCAAGGGTTTTCCCTCTTTATGTTACTTTGAAAATAAGGGTTACAGTGGTGCCAGGCCCACTGTAGAGAAAAGTGTTGCAGGAAGGAGACTGCATAAGATAAGACAAACTATTTCATGCCATGTACCACCATACATGCATCGATCCCGCCTCCCACCATGCCTTAGTTGCGTGTTCAGACCCAGAGACCTCCGCCCCAAATAAATTCACACTTGACTCAAACTTTAGTTTTGGTTTTTTTGGCAGAATTTAGGCCACAACTTTATTGATTACAGAAGGTGAGTGGTTGCATAGGCTCTGGTTCGACTAGCTCCCTGCACCCTTGCAGGCAGCGCTGACACAGGGCACCAGCATAGGTCAGCCAGGGGTGAACACCTGGGTAGGCGAAAAGCCGGAAACAGACTATGTTCACCACCCAGATGCCCCCCTGGACTCAGGCACGGGCACAACCCCCTCTCAGGGGTTGACCAAACCAGTTGAGTCCCTGGATTCCTTTAACGGAATACCCTTCACATAGGGATGGCGAGAGTGTTCTCCCATCCCTATCACCTGAACCAGTGCCTATCCGCAACCTTACAAGTTGTGACGATTTGCTACGGGGCAGGCAAAACCCAAATGGCAACAGCCAATCAGCCAAGTGAGGAAATTCCTGCCGTGCCCCTGTCCTAACAACAGATGACACAGGACGGCATAGCAAGGTCAATCGCACAATGCCCTAAAAATAGGGAGAGGTGGGCGGGTGTTCCGAATGCACGAGCCAAAAGAGGAAGCTCTGGGTCACGTGCATGGGTATATATAAATCCCTCAATCCATTTAGACTGCGCCCCATTGGCCAGATTGAACCCAACATCGAGGGATCTACCATTCGGGTGTTGTGGCTAACCAATTGAACCCACCCACAACACAGGAGGTCAGTCTCCAGGTCTCACCGCAACACGTGCCCTCTTTTAGGGAGGACACAATCTGCCACGTTTATGCCCTTGTGCCTGCGTGTGGAATGAAGAGTAGATCTTGGTCTTTGCCTCAAGCAAACATTCCAAGTGCAATAAGGGAGCTGTTGCTTTCAATTACATATCTGAGCTGGGGTGTGTGACTTACCCCTGATACTGGAATCGGCGGACCGATTCCCAAACTCATGGACCGCAGTCCTTCTGAACCCATCGGTTGAATTCAGTTCCTACGGGACAACGGAAGCTAATTTCAGAAATTTGTTTAGCCTGTAAGAGAGTAAGACAGACTGGGTAACATGGCTAAAAATTATACTCCAAAACTGGAATTCAAACATATACGTAAGGGAATATGAACATAGGTCTGTTTTTCCGTTAAAATTAGCAAGAGTTTTGTATAAGACTTGCTCCCTATCTGCCTGTACACATAGAAATTACTACACTGGGGTGATAGGCTTTTAAAAACATTGTTTTGAATAACCCGTTGGAACAAAATTGAAGTTTTAGTTTTCTCCCACTAAATAAGTCTGCACTGGAGCTCATGTGAGACATAGGAAGAAATCAAGCCACTGACCTTATTCCACTTCCTGATTTCTAAAAGCTGAGGGCTTTAAGATTTGGTTGAGCAAAATTAAATTACGCTCACTAGAGTGGTTATATTTAGCACGTCATTTAAATAGTTTGCAGCTTAAGCTGCCGCTTACAACTTCAGAGCATCTGTGTTGTTGTTTTATTTAAAAAAAAAAAAATACTACGTACAGCCAGCTAAATAGGGAGCCACAGCTTAACATGCTATCAAAATAGCACAGCTCTTTTGGAAGAGACACGTGACACAGAACCCATGGCTAACTTTCGGATACAAGAGTATATTGTTTTGCACACATTCCCTCTGTTTGAAGGCTGTTTATGGCTGCCTGTGACAAGTACTGTTTCGTTTCCGTTTCAAAAATTATGTTAGAAAGCTAAAGAGGACAGGGCTTTCTCAGCTTAGATAAAATAAAATTTAGGGCTGCAAACCTAACCCCACTTGCCTGGGAGTAAGCTCCACTGAATTCAATAGGCCTTACTTCTGAGCAGACATATATTTAGGGTTGCTCTGAAAGGCTAAGCTACTGCTCTTAGGTACAGAGGTAGATTTAGGGCAACATGACCAGTTCTGCCACACTGGGCACTGATCCTAGGGAGTGCCACAACTATGATATAGCAAATTGAGCTGAGTGGAAGCCAGGAGGCGGGAGAGCTCCGAATTTTGGCATCACAGAGGGTGCTGCTGAAATTTGAAAGGCCGAAGTCCACCCCTTTCCTTGAGGTCCCCTGCCCCTACTAATTTTTTTAAAAATGAATTTTTCTTTTTGTTTTGAGGAGAATTGCCTCTTTGGGGGATGTTTCCTCTCTTTTTGTCTGTTTGTTTTGCAGTGTGTTTTGTCTGTTGTTGGAAGGGGGGCTTTAAGCATTACAGACCCTCCAAGTGTCCCTATTTTCCAGGAACATCCCTGACTTGGAGCTGTCCCAGTTTCTGATTTGATCCTAGAATGTCCCGCTTTTCCTTAGTATGTCCCTATTTTCACTGGAGAAATGTTGGAGGGTATGGAGTTATCCAATCCCCGAACCGTCTGAAGGCAATCCTGCATAGGGAAGTTTTTAAATGTTTTATTATGTATCTGTATATGTTGGAAGCCAGCCAGAGTGGCCGGGGCAACCCAGTAAGATGTGAGGGTTATAAATAGTAAAATTATCATTATGGAATGGGACGTCCCGATTTTCATCGGAGAAATGTGGGAGGGTATGGCACTACCAGTTTTCCTTCTGTGAAATGCCCATGGCAGTCTCTTTGATTTCCACATGTGTGCTCACCCTGTGCTATAGAAATTCTCTTTTGAAAAGAAGTAAAAGACTGCACTGTAGGGTTGCACGCCTGTATATACTGTTGTGGGAGTAAGGCCCACTGAATTCAGTAGGATACTTCAGAGGAAATATGCTTCAGATTTTTAACTGCACAGTTGTGGCGGGCATGATCGATGTTGTACATTGTGAGTGATGTTGGGAGAGCAAATAAGGAACACTCCCCGCATAAACACACATGCTAGAACTCAGACATATTCCAGTACAGCTGAACGAGGGTAGATGCAAAGAGTCAAAAGGAAGTGGCAACTTATGATCACAGTATGTGGATAGATGCTAGTTCAGAAGGCATTTTTGAAGGCAAGGAATGTGGAGCTTTTAATGCACATGAGCCAATGACAAGTCCCAATACTGAGAGGGCATGTACCCTGTCCTGAAATGAATAGTAAAGTGTGGCTGTCCACTGTTGGAAGCAGAGAACTGAAGTAGATGAACTCTGATACAGCAGAACCAATTCTTAATTCCTGTGAAAGCAACTAATTTGTGTACAAAGGAAGTGTGAATAAAGTTCTAACAGTGATCACAAGCGGTGTTTCCCCTCTCTGATGTCAGGAGAGGATATCAAACGCTTTTAATCTTTAAAGACTTTAAACATAACGAAGAACTTTAAGGCAATTTCATTGCATCCCTTGATTATCCAGCGATGACTTTCACATGTCAAAGAATCATTACAGATCAAGCATTTTAGATGGAGGTTGTTATGTGTCACTGGCATCACCTCAAAAAGCAGAAAAACGTTTTGATCTGAAGCTGAACGACACAGATGCATCTGTTACTCATCTCTTAGGATCAAGGATCTGGAGAAACTGCGGCTCTCTGAATGTTGCCAGACTACAAATCCCATCACCCCTGACCGTTTAGCCATGCTGCCTGGGGCTGATGGGAGTTTGAGTTCAATAACATCTGGGGGGCCACTGGCTCCCCAGTTCAGTCTTAAATATAGGGATGCTTAAGCAGGTTATAGAGATTCAATACAAAAAAATTCTGCTGGGTCAAAGTGAAAACTTGATTGTGTACATGTGTTTATTAACAGGAGCTTCCTAATGAGTCCCAAAGGTGGAGGCTTTTTAGCCTAAGAGGCCCTGATTACTTTCAGCAATTGGCATAGTTTACAAAGTAAACTTTCAAAGGAGGGCTCTCGCATCCAATCATTTATTTATCTGCCACTTGGTGCCAAAATAAACTTCTAAGTGGTATAAAAACCAGCTATGCAAACATTAAAATCTAAACATCAATGATAATAAAAAAATACACAAGAAAACAAATCCCATTAAAACAATACAGCTATTAAAGCAGGAGACTCAGGCCGAGAGCTCAAGGAAGTACTTGTGTAAACAGATGCATCTTCAAAAGCCAGCAGAATGCCAATACAGACCAGGAGTCTCATCTTTCAGCAGGGAGTGCATCCCATAATACCAGAGCTACACTGAATGGCATGCTCCTGAGGTGTAGCTGTTATTCTCTGAGCTGAGCAACCATCTGTGCAGCGTTTTGAAAACACTGCACTCCCCACTCCAAGTCACTGCATGGCTCAAGGTTGGCTCCAAGGATCTCTATCGGGTTATTTGTACACAAGACCAAATCAAAAGGTAGGCCAGCAACAAGGAAGTGTTGACTACACAGATGGCCATTTGGAACAATAAAAACCAACAGATAAGCAACCTGCCTTTCTTCTTTGTAATCTCTGCACAGACACGTATATGGGAGAATAGCAAAATGACCAATTTGGAGGTGGGTACAGGGAAGTTTTCCTCTCATTTAGCACAAGCTGCATGGGAGGAACCCATAGCGCCATTGTGGAAATCAAGCAACGAGACCCCCTTAAAGAGTGTTTGCAAAGACTGGTTTCAGTCACTGGTAGCTCAGTTGGTAGAGAATGAGACTCTTAATCTCAGGGTTGTGGGTTCGAGCTCCACGTTGGGCAAGATTCCTGCACTTCAGGGGGCTCTACAATTCTATGATTCTCCGAAAGAAAATGAGATTTGGCTTTGTTGTCAAGATACCCAGGATGTGAAGGCTCAAAGGAGACCTATGAATTCTTAAATGAACTTGGAGGACTGATCTGAACAAGGTTCAACCCACAAAAAAAACTTCCAGGAAGGTCAACCAATGCAATGAAGAGATTATATTGACAGTACCTCCAGCATGACTGCCCGACACCAATATCGTGGCAGGATACGCATAGCGGACATGCAACTCCTAATAATATACACCTGAAAGCAAACTGTTTGACCACTTGCTACACAAATCATTGAAAGTGTGTGCACATATACATATGTTAAGTGTGAGCAAAAGATTTAGATGAATCCTGAATCAAGAACTGAAATGGGGCCGCCTCAGACAGATTCAGGGCTTGTCCAGGTCAGTTTCCTGAAGGAATTGCATGTCGGCTTAATCCCCTCTAGCAATGTTGTGGGAATAGAAAGATTAAACCCATAAAATATCTGAACTGGCAGCGTTCTAGGCACCACCAAGGCCACTGTGGCATTTTGATGCATTCCCCAATCTCCTGTGCCAGGTGGTCGTCGTCAAAATCAGATGAGGCCAGAAAGTGCCCGTGCCCTTGAAGGCTACTACAAGAGCACCATTGGACAGGGGCATCAGTACAGAGGCAGGGGTATCGACTCAAAAAAATTTCAGGCCCAAATCCAGAGAGAGCCACACATGGCCTAGTCTTGACGTTCTTTGCTCAAGGAAGCTCAAACAGTGTGGGTGGAAACTGACGATATGAACCTGTGGGGTGCAGGAAAACACCAGTCATATCTGTCAGGCACAGAAAACCTTCTCCACACATCAAACATAGCATCTGCAGAAATTTCCCGTTTAAAAAAAAAAAAAGATAATAGTGAAGGATTTCCCCCCAAAAAATAATGAAAGGAAATGCTTTGTGTCTCATTTCGCCTGTATCCTTTTGGTTGGTTGGTTTAAAGATGAAGTTGGTTTTTTTAATGGAGATGAAAACAGATTAAAGCCAAGGTGAAAAAGTCTTTCAAGGATTACGAAAAATATTCTGAAGCTCTAAAGGAAGTTTCCTATCATGCTATACAGGCGGTGATGGAAAAGAAAATGAAGAGAAAGCCTTGAGCCACATATAGACCCAGAGTTTTCATAGAGTTCCCCTTCTCAGGGGCAGATGCTACAGGCTCTTCTGAGCTTTTGAAGTTTCTGAAATGCTGCTCTCCAAGGCATATGACTGCACAGAGATCACACAGAACAGTGTGAGAGAGAAAAAGTCGCTAAAACTTTCTACATTCAGAAGCCCTTCTGAGAGGGCAATACCGTATTTTTCGCTCTATAAGATGCACCAGACCACAAGACACACCTAGTTTTTGGAGGAGGAAAACAAGAAAAAAAATATTCTGAATCTCAGAAGCCAGATCAGCAAGAGGGATCGCTGCGCAGTGAAACCAGCAATCCCTCTTGCTGTTCTGGCTTCTGGGATAGCTGCACAGCCTGCATTCGCTCCATAATACACACACACATTTCCCCTTACTTTTTAGGGGGGGGAGAAAGTCTTATAGAGCAAAAAATACGGTAATTGCCCCGGACAACAATGGCAAATGGTACTGAATTTTAAGTTCTGTGATTATTAGGGCCTTTTCATTCAAGGCATTTGACAAAAGTCAGTGAAAATAAAACCCAAGGATGAGAGCAAATGCAGCGTGCCCACACATGACACACCATACTGGGCCACTGACCACACAATCTATCTTGTTGTTTGAACTGCATATAAACACTTCATAACTCTCTCCTCTCTGCACCCCCAGCTAAGCAAATAGATTGGCTGCTAGCCTTGCAGGAGGGTGGGGTGATGGAGGTATCACCCCAGCCAACAGTAGCAACTAATTCTTACTGACCCCAAGAAAGCTACTTTAGGCACTGAAGTACAACTCCTCTTGTATGTCTGTCTAGCGCCTGTGTGGTGATAGGAACTCATTTGTGGAGTTATCCACAAAGCTAATTTTTGTATTCCCGTTAATTCCCCAAATCAAGGACAGGCTATTAACTTATAATTGGAAGATTACGGGGGAGAAATCGGTATAGCTACCTAATTTACAGAGTAGTGAGAGCCGAAATTGAGGGTGGTTTGAAAGGAAAGAACTCCGGTAGGTTTATAGGCAGCAATTCAGCAATTCCCTCTGTGCCTGAAAGATTTTGTGGCCATCCTTTAGGTGAGCTATGCAAAATAGATCAATAGAACAGAGACACATCAGGTATTCAGAGTCTTGCCGGCTGTCTTCAGACTGAAAGATCAAGAGCAGCCTCCCATGCAAGTTTTCCCAGCCTAGGCTTTCACCCTCTGCTTCTCATTTTCTAAATCCGCCACTGTCAGTATAGCTCTAGATATTAACAATGCAGAATTCAAACAGCTCAGAAACTTCATGCCACAGATCTCCTTTATACAGGAAAATAAAATGTTGGGCTGGGAGTAGACATGTAAAATTTCTGGGGAAACAAGAAAGCTTCAGAAAAATGGGGGGTGCAAACTTTTTTTCAGTCTTTACATATCAATTTATTTATTTCATAAAATTTCATTAGCCACTCAATTGCAAAGAAAGAAAATTCTCAGAGTGGTTTGTTACTTCAGGAAAATGCATTATGTATACCTTGGTTCAACACAGAATTATCATATCTAAAAGTAGTTCAGACAGTAATTGTGAATTGCCTTTATTTTTAAAGTTGTTGTCACAAATGGAGCTACAAGTTGTTGAACTATAAGGAGCCTAGCAACTCTTTGGTTTTGCTGGTTTGTGACAAAAATAAAAACAGAAACCAGTAGCATTATGGTAAAATAAATTATTATTTATACTGAAAAGTATGTTTTCCATAAACCTTGCCTTCCTACCTTAAATATTTCATTCATCATTCTAAAAGAAAATATTTTATAATCCATTTTTTTCATTTTTCAGGAAAAAAACAAAAAGGCTTCAAGCAAAAAACGGGGGAGGGGGGTGTTCAGTAATTTTTCTAGCCTTCGCACATCATGCTGCGAGGTACGGTAACTCTGAATCAGCTGCTTAAAATGAGATATGGAAACAAGTAACATTGCTGTCCTCAGAAGTATTTCAGTTTTACAGGAAATGGCAAGAATGAACTTCATAATCTTCAGGTACTTACCATAATCGATCAGATCTGATCTCTTTAGAACTGGACAGTCTGAAGATCCATGCTACAAACAAAGCAGCTGTCTATTGCACACTATACTGTTTAAGAAACATCTGACGACATTTTTAGCCTGCAATGTCTGCACTGAAAACATCTGCAAAGGCTTGATCTTAGGAGATGCTTTGTGCTCCAACGACAAAAGTCACGTTCGGTGCATCATATGTAAAACACATTCACAATTTTAGAACTGACACAGACCAGGCCCCTGCTTTATGTATGACAATACAGGTTAGTGCCAGTGGTTCTGTCAAGCCCCTAGGTATTTTCCACAAGGCTTATTTGGCTCTAGGACAGGGCTAGGGAATTTCTCCCTGTCACCTGGGACATACATGTACTGAGAACACACCCATTCTCTCACTCAACTGCACTGACGCCCCTAACCCCAGCACACACGCCAGGTCTTGATGTGATTATAAGACTTGGAATGAAAGAGATGTTAAAATATTCCAAGAAAGCAACTGGCTTGATGCAAAAAGATTTATAACATTCCAGAAATTCCAGACATCACACAATTTTTTTCTTAACATGCATTGAAAGTATTTGGATAACACGCAGAATTTCGATGCGGCCATTAAAACAGAACAGGATGCAGCAGAAGTGGTATTCGTGCCAAGTTTTCGCCTCTATTTTAAGCAGTCTTGCTTATGGACTTCTGATAGGCATATGGTTGGCCACAAAAGAACAGGATGCTTGACTAGAAAGACCTTCCTGTGTTCTAAGTCTATATAAGATCCTCCATGTACTAACATACAAAGGGAGCCAATGCCTATAGCTTAACCCACATTGAGCAGGAGCAGACAAGAGGCCTCCTACCAGTGATGGCTGCCTGCTTCAAAGGAACAGTTCAGTTTTAGTAATACATAGGTGGCTCTATCAAATGAGCCAAGCCACATGCTACAGTAGAAGACTTAAAGCTCACATCTACACAAGCAGAATAAAGAGTGAATTTATTGTATAAAATGATTGGCAAGATACAAAAAGAAAAGAAAAAACTTTTATGCATATTTTCTATTAACTTGTACACAAGTTATCACGCCAAAAGCAGAAACTTTAAGATTATTGTTTTAAAATGTTTACACAGTGAAGTTAATTTGGTTGCAAAACACAATGGAACTAAAAGCACTTGAGAATGCAGCTTTGCAAAGTCTTCTTTATTGTTGTCATCAAAGGAGTCCACAAAATACATGTATTGGTAAAGTCTTAAGTGGGAATGACATCCAGGTTACTTTGCTTACTGGAGTTACTTTTCAAATAAAAACCCTTGGTAACAAAGGGATCAGCAATCTTTCACTGTCAAACAGTGCCCTTAAATAGTAACCGAACTGTCAGTTTTCAAAAGGGACAAACTAATGCAGGTGTAGGAGAATAACGCTAAATTCCCCCCCAAACAGTTGCTTGCAAGTAGTTCCAGAAATGTCAATGGATTCAAGAAAGGAAATGTTGCTAAGATGTATGACCACCATTTCAAGGTGACTGGGGACATAGTGGAACTGTGCAATTACTGTACCAAAAAAAAGTATGGTATATTCTCAATAGCAAACTATTCCGGACTAACTATAACCCTGAAAGCAATTTGCCACAACCAAACACAAAAGCTAATGGACATATGGTTTTAGACTGTGGCCCTTGTTTTCTACAGATGGTAGTTTACACATAACTGGCAAAAAAACAACAACCCAAAACTGATTGCATCCAGGTGACACACATACAAAAAAGAAAGGGAGGGGCAATAAGTTAACACAAAATTGTAACAGCCCAAATTGTACTTTATTGACAAGAAACTAATTAAGACAAAAAAATAAGGTTATTTGAGTTCAAAGTAGTTTTGTGCTGGTTCCAACTTCTATGAAGCATTTTTGAGAGTATACAAATATGTATCTGTAAAGAATTATGGAACTGACACACACAAGATTATTTCAGTCTGTTCAAACCCACGAAGAAGAGACTTGGCGATCCTTCTGTGGAGAGTCCATCATATCATATGAAATATATTCTTTTAAAAACATTTACGGATTCCTGAGCCTTGAAAGACATTTCTGCCCTTTTCTAGTCATTTATTTATTTTTAAGATGGAAAACCTGTTTTTCCTAATTTTTGCAAATGTTTCACACATGCAAAGAAGAAGAAGGGGCACATGCAATCTTCACAGCATTCCACTGGTACAAGTACCAATGTACTGCACAAAACATACCAGAAGAGCATCATCTGATGACCGGAGGAAAGTATTAGGGAGGAACTGTGTTGATTTTTAAAGCTTTTATTAAAGAAAAACCAAAAGGTCTTCCCCATAAAATAAAGGCCACGTTATTTGTTAGTACCATAGTATTTTCAGAGAGATTTAGTTCCTCCTGCTTTGCAAGTCTTATGGTGCTCAGTACAAAGCGAAGCCGATTTACACACCCCCAAACTCTAACTAGCTAGAAATGCATTTGTAATGGAAGAGCCCTTTTCGTCACTAACGAGGATGATAAAACCAGGTCAAAGACTTGTATTTCACCTACAAGTTCTCCCTCAGACTGCTATTGGCCACAATCATATTAAGTTCTTTGTAGTTTCTCTTTTACTTTGCATATTACACAGTGTAACTTAAAACGTTATATAAGAGCACTTCAGTCCCACAATGTAGGATTTAAACTTACGTGAAAAATTATGAATGGCTCCACAATATTTCAGTGGCTTACAAAAATACATTCAACCAAATATTTATATAATGTGTTCTCCCCCTGGCCCAACAAGAAATTAAAAAAAAAGCAAGGTAAGGGAGCCAAATAGTCCCCAAATAGCAAAAATGCTCCCGCACTTTCCTTTTTAGCAGGTTCCCAAAAGAACTGTGGAGAAACCCTGTAACCTGTCGCAGACAGGAAATGACTGGATACTGGGAGGGAGAGAGCTGTCCTTTTCAGAAAGTACTAGAGTTTTGCCTTCCCAGCCCTAAGAAGCAGAACCTTCCATTTGCTGGATTGCCCTCTTGCTCGTGAGAGAAGAACATACTGCTTTCTGGAAATACTTTGAAAGCTAAGCACATTCAAGAGTACTGTACATGGAGTTGCATACTTTACACTCATTCGCCAGCATTGAAGATCTACTGTATATTATTAGTCAGCCTTATAAATAACGCTAAGCAGAAAAGAAAAAAAAAATTGCTTCAAGGGTATTTTTTCTCCGTTTGAAAAAGGAAACACAAAACAAACCTAAAGTGCAGACTACAGGCCATGACACGTATAATAATGACGAAAGGTGCAGCCAGACTTACATCTATATTTACAGTCACTTAGCCACCTTACAAAAAGCCGCCCATTTTGCAATCTAAAAACCACCAAGGTTGTTTGAGATCCTCCACTGTTCGGGATTTAAGTCTTTTAGAGATGTCTAGGCAATATGTTAGGTTGTCCAGATTCACAAAGAAAGTTAATATAATACTTCAGGAGGAGGGGGGCGGGACTCATACAATGTTGACTCCTCCTCCAGAAAATGCAAGCGTCCTCTTGCTGCAAAAGGATGAGTTGCTGTTGCTTGGTAGACTGCTTTTAACAAGTGATGTCTTCATTTCCATTTCACATGCAACTATGGCTGCATTCAATTCCACTTGAGCCCGGTGGACAACATAAAACATGAGGCCTATACTTATTACAATCTGTGAATGAAACAGAAGTGATAGTGCTTTTAAAAAATATTTTCAGCAGCAGTAATAAGCACAAGGAAAGGATTCAAAGTGTGGGAGAAACTTTTAAATAGGCTTTATAGGTCACGCTAGCAGCGACTGCGTTAAAAAGAATGTCACGTTCACATATGTGCAGTGCAGAGAAAGTGGAGGGAAGGAGTTTTTCTCCTCTCATATCATATGACCCGAGGCTATTCAATGAAGCTAAATGTGGAGAGAATCGGGACAGACAAAATAAAGTACTTCTTCACGCAACATACAATAGAACCTCTACTCATGATCACAATCAGTTCTGGAGGCCCGCCTTTATGGCGAAACGGGTTGCTGGAAGAGGCGCCGTTGTGTGCATGAGCGAACGGCAATCGCTGCTCCTGCGCATGCGCAAACGGCAGCAAACCCACCAGTTACTTCCAGGTTTGCCGCAGCCGCAACTTGGAACGTCCGCAAGTGGAGGCGGTTGTAAGTAGAGATTCTACTGTATACTCAAACTACAAAACTCGCCCCCACAAGACAGTGTGATGGGCCACCAACTTGGACAGCTTTCAAAGAGAATTGCACTACAGTATAATATAAATAAAAGGAGCCTTATGATCCAAGCCAATATTAACCATGCAGATTACCTGGGAGTGAATGCCATTTAACACAGTGGGACTTACTTTTCATTAAACACATACCGCAATGAGACAAAAGGTTATAAAAATGAATTTTTTGAGTAAGGGCTAAAAAAATGGCTTACCTGTAAACTAAAAATGAAGTAGCCACTAACACTTTGTTCTGCAATGACATCCTCCATAGTGCGCAAGGTGGTGCCCAGATAGGAGTTTAAGAGTTGAGTTGGAAGCAATCCAATGGAAGAAGCCATCAGATAGTTTGGTAATGAAAGATCCGTTATCTAAATAAAAAAGAAGGCATAAAATGTAACCTGAAAAAGGGAATTCTCTTTATTAGTCACATGTTCTAAATCTCCCAAAGACACCGTCACCAGCCCCAGGGCTAACAGGAACCACTTATTTCAATAGACCTAAGAGTACAACCATAGTTACATAAGTCTACTGGGAAAATATTTTTACATATTTTAATTGGCTTAAGGATTTCAAAAATTCTTTATGAATGCTAAAAGTGAAAGGTGGGAAGGGATCATGTATATTGCCTTGAACCCCTTAGTGAAATAGTAGATAAACAACAAATAACTTTCAAACAGAATTGGAGATTATGACAGGTTTTTGCTATTTTTGTTGGCATCCGGCTGTCTTGAGAGATAATGGAGTGCACCTCCAGAGGTGAAGTCAAACCCTGCATTAGCAGGACTGAAGTAACCTCCTTGGGGCACAAGCCTGGGCCATTGTGTATGGAGGTTCTGGGCTTCCCCCCTCTCAGCCTGGCTGATGTGGTCCAAAGGAAAGCAGAACAGTATGTTTAATACCAGCTTGGCTGCAGGAGTTGCCAGAAGGGGGCATACAAGGTGCCATCCAACTGCTTTAGGGACTCCATTCTAGATTTCTGCAGGGTTTATTCCTTAGCCTTTTCTTCTCCCAAACTTATCCTTCCCAGGTTGACAAGCCCCATATGCCCCTCATTTCCCTACAGCATGTGCAGAAATCACCTTCTTGACTGTTGGACCTACTTTTGGTCTCATCTGCTCAATCTGCCAGAGCCCGTCTTTGCATGCAGAAGTCCCTAACTCACCAAGGGTTTGAGACCCATCAGCTACCCTCACCTGGCTTAGCCAGCCAGTTGAAGCCGTCCCCAGGGTGTGGCTCCTTTGATATATAGCCAAGTATATCCTGGCTATAAATTCGGTATGACAAACACATTATATTTTAAAATAGGAATGTATTTATAAGTTACCTTTGGTAATACATTCCAAGTAAGAGCTTGCCTGCAGGAAGACAAAGAAACATTCTAGTACTCATACTAGAGGCCTGTGACAACACATACTGCCAACAGTGTTAAGGCTCTGAAAGTAATCTAGTATGTCATGTTTAATAGCCCAACTGCTGGTAGGCGTTTTCCATATATTTAGAAATACAGTTTCTAATTTGTAGTTTAGTTTTATTTGTTTTAAGGGACACGGGTGGCGCTGTGGTCTAAACTACAGAGCCTAGGGCTCGCTGATCAGAAGGTTGGCGGTTCGAATCCCTGTGACGGGGTGAGCTCATGTTGTTCAGTCCCAGCTCCTGCCCACCTGGCAGTTCAAAAGCACGTCAAAGTGCAAGTAGATAAATAGGTACCGCTCCAGCGGGAAGGTAAACAGCATATCCATGAGCTGCTCTGGTTTGCCAGAAGTGGCTTAGTCATGCTGGCCACATTACCCGGAAGCTGTCTGCGGACACAGACAAACACCGGCTCCCTCGGCCTATAGAGCGAGATGAGTGCGCAACCCCAGACTCATCCGTGACTGGACCTAACGGTCAGGGGTACCTTTACCTTTTCTATTTGTTTTATAGACTTGTTAGCCACCTAACAAAATCCAGTGTTTTCCAAACATAAAATATTTGATAAAACCACTTAAACAAATAAATGTTATTTGAATAGTAGAACAATGCAACAATGAGTAGAAACAATAATAAATACACCATTCTATTTCTACCAATCATTCCACACAGAGACTAAAAAAGAGGGCCACAAAGAACTACCTAATCTATCTCTACCACTGCAACTCCTCACCCCCACAGTGGTGGCTTTAAAACAGGCTTCCTCAAACTAGGGCCTCCAGATGTTTTTGGCCTACAACTCCCATGATCCCTAGCTAGCAGGACCAGTGGTGAGGGATGATGGGAATAGTCTCAAACCATCTGGAGGGCCAAGTTTGAGGAAGCCTGCTTTAAAAGGTCAATACCAGCAATTTAAATTGCTCCTTGAAGCCAATAGGTAGCCAGTAAAGCTGATGAAGAATTGGCCTAATTGTTTATCACATGTCAACATCAGGGGTGCTGGATTCTCCAACAGCTGAAGCTTCAGGGAAACTTGATGCAGCTGACAAACCAGACCTTCAACTGGCCCACCCACAGGCAACTTTGACAGGTGAGCAAGGCCACCCACCGGTCAATCATCTGTCATTATATGACATCAGGCGATTCAAATTTTAAACCCTGGCTGCAAAAGAAGAATCAGGAATGTACTCTAAATGCCCTCCCAATTCTTCTTTTCCACTTGAACCTGGCACCAATTTTTTAAGTGCCAAACTGAAGCAGTCACTGGAATGAAAGAATCAGAGGTGCACCAATAGTGCGCTCCCAATTTTCCTTCTGGAATTAGGCACAGAGATGTCACCACTACAGCACCTGGTGTCATAATGAATGTCAGGTGATGGAACAGCTGGACATGGTAGGTATTTTTCAAATCCATTTCACAGGCCTATTTAGGTGCGGGGGCCTGAAGTACAACATGGCTGTTCTAAAACATGTTCCTAAGTCAAGCAATACAAAGACCCAAACAGCTTCTAAAGTTTTAACGTAAACAGTCCTTCCCAGCGGACACTTTAAGACACGTTAAAATGATATTCTATTCATTTTAGCATTATGTAGCATTAGAATGACGATTTAAAAAAAAAAAAATTCACAACATAGCCTGTAGCCACTATTTTAGAATAGTGTTGGTATTTTAACAATATCTCTTCAAAATGAAGCGGTGACATGAGTAATCAAATACAATTTAGCACTCCAGTAAGGTGATCAGCTGAAACACTTGAGTAGTGAACAAATTACTTCACAATTTTAGGCAATTTATTGCAGTACTTCTAAATCCAAGAAAGTATTTGCACCAGTAGCATGAATTAAACTTAGGCAGAAGTTTTACAGCAAATTTTATTAACAGGTATGTGAATAAACTTACCAGCGTTATATATCCAAAAGGTACTTTCTGATAACTTTTGTAATTCTGTTGAAATCTGGGGCATTACGAAAGCTTACACATGGGAGACCTACTTTATTGCCAGGAGAATGCAACTAGTACTTTCTCTGCCTTTTAAATATTAAATTAGAAACCAGATATACTAAGTAGGGCACTCATTAAATTTGACCGTACTCTGAAACAATCACAAGGATTAGATGAACACCTCTCGACAGTAAACTTGTTCAGCCTGTAATGTACCCAGGCTACTGGTAAGATGTTATCTGTACAGATCATGATCTTTGCTTCTTCTTTCATCCTAAAATGGCTCAGGACTAAGTATTATACAGTAGGAAAGAGGCATGTCTAGTGAACTCATTAGCAAGATGCAGTTAAATCCAATCTAAAGTCACCATACATTTTTCAAATATAGAAAATAAACACTGTTTTATGCTTAAATAAAATTAGGGCACCCATATTTGATAAAATCATTTGCATATCTATTTTTACATCAGAACCTTTTTTTAAAAAAAACTGTAATGTAGGGGGGAAGAGAGAAACCTGGAAGAACTCAATTTACAAGATTGTTTTTAAAATCTTTATAGGCATTTTAACCAGGATTCACATGGCGGGAGGAGGGATAGGAATGGGTCAGCGGACTCCACCCCTGGCCCATAAAAACACAGGCACCCAAATCCTTACAGAAAGTTTGGGGAAAAGGTTACAGCTCAGTGGCAGAGCACATGCTTTATATTCAGCAATCCCCAGCACCTCCAAGTAAGGCCAGGAAAGACTCCTGTCCTGGAAAGCTGCTGCCAGTCAGTGTTGAAGCAACAGTCCGACTCGACAGAAGACAGATGTTCAAACAAACTTGTGTGCAATGGGAGCAGAGTCTGTCACTGAGATGCCACTCCAACCTCAAGCTACCTGAAAGACCCCCATTCCCCCATATGAACCTGCCCAGGCTCTTAGCTCTGGACATGGGAGAGGGCCTTCTTGGTGACTGCTCCAAGATCTCAGAACTCCCTTCCTAGACAAGGTAGACAGGCTCTCTCCTTGCTGTCCTTCCGCTGGAAGGTGAAGATGTTTCTATTCCAACAGGCTTTTATTGTTGCCTGTGTTTTTAATGGATCTATCTTAAATTATTTTAATTATTGTCTTTTCTGTTTTGAGCTTTTTCTATTTTATCTATGCAAAGCCGCCTTGAGTCCCGGACACATGTGTACACACACTTACTAGCAAATAAAAGAACCCCAAAGGACACAGCAAGCAATGCCCTTAACATCATGTGCAATTTAGACCTCAAAGGGATCCAGATAAGATTTTCATCTCAACACCTTTTGGGGGGGAATGCAGAACATCAAAGTTTGGAGAGCACATACCATAGTGATCCACTAAGAAACAAACCACAAATTCTGCACAGTTGAAGAAAGTTACTTTGTTGGTTGAGAGACAAAGGGATAATCAGATATCTAGGAGCATAATTCAAAACCTTTAGCACCACAGATTTATGAAACATAATTATGTCTTTTTGGCTTTTGCTGTAGACATACAAGAATATTAAGCAAGACCACTTACTTGAAGGCTAAGGTTGTAGTCCTTTGATCAGTTATAAGGAAGTAAGTCCCACTGAACAAAGTGAGGCTTACTTCTACATAACTGTGACTACGATCAGATGGTAGCAAGTGCCTAGAACTTTGCAGATCAGATGCAGGTGGCAACTATTTCACATGGGGGTTCCGTTCTGGCTGCACAGCACATCGGCCACCTCCGTTTCACCTTCTTCTGGGTCCAAAAGGACCTGCGTGTCGGCAATTGCATATCAATTGGCTGTGCCTAAAATGGTTGCTGGCTGTAGTAGCTACCTCACAAAACTGTATTCCTCTATGATATGAAAAACAAATGCCTAGGCTTTTTGCCTGGTAGCATCATAAATATTTATAATATAAGAAGTGAACACGTAGGTGGAAAATATAATTACCTGGGACCAAGGGACACACATAGTAATAAATGTTGTGCCTTTCAACATGTCTGTATTAAAATTCAGATTTCTTTTTTTATTAAAGACAGGATTACCATAATTTTTAATTGATTTTACCTCACCACCACCACCCACCCTCCTCTCTACCTCATGCATCCTGGGGGTAGGGAATTCTGTCTCTCTTCATTTCAACAATACTATCATCTTCCCTGAGCTCCTTAGAATAAGGATTAGGATAGAGCCCAAAATAAGTGACTACCAAATGTTACATACAGTTGGTATTAAGAAAGTCTTTCTTCAAGGTAGGAGGAAGTAGTTGTAGTCTTTCTTCAAGGTAGATTTTGAAGAAGGAAGACAATAGCTACTTGATTTGACCAAGACTTGCCTCCATCATGGGCTGAGTGAGGTCCAGCAGCTGAGCCTTAGTTCCTTTGCCTCAGAGATCCTCAGTGGGATTGCTACCTGGCAATAGCAGGGAAGACCACGGATGAAGAAAGGAAATGCTTCCAAAATAACCTAGCATCATATGGATGCTATATTATTTCTCTTCCTAAAACTATCATTGAATGCAATCATATCATAAAAATATTCTGTAAGCTGCTTTGAGAACTTCTTGGATCTATCAAACGGAATATAAGTATTATAACCAGACAAGCAAACAGCCTCATTCATGAAACACCTTTTGAATCAGTTCAAAATTACACAGAAATATTTGCCTATTGTGCCCAGTGAAAGTGTGTGAATGTCTTTAAACTTCAACTGATGAAGGGCAGGGGGCCAATGATTTAAAAAAGGTAACAGCCATCTGTTTTTCAGTCTATCAGATCCTTCTCCTATTGCTTAAATCTGAAACACAATATAAATCATTATGCAAATAGTTCTTCACCCCACATAAAGTCAACAATATTTATGGAACTTATAATAAATGATGGAGATGTCAATCATCAGGTGTCAGCTTCATGCAGTTGTGAAGGAAATGCCTTCCAGTTGTTGAAGTTTGGAAGAAAGTGATTGATGTAATATATCAGATGGCCAGGTGTAAACTGAAATTAGATCCATTTGTGATACTGTTATTTAAATGCAAATAAATAAACTCAAAACCTTGGGGTTTTGTGGGGGGTTTTTTGCTTTTTTATCTGAAAAATGCATTAATTGACAACCTGTTATTAGCCCTAAAGTTGTAATTGACAGATATTAAAAAGGGGGTACTCTCCAACATTAAAATGGATGAGAAAGGCTCTGAATACAACCAAAATGAATGATTTGGTGAGTCTGACATATATAACTCTTAATAAGTTAATAAAATAGAATGAACCCTTTTGCTCAGTGTTGAAATGTCTACTATAACATTCTCCTGCAGAAATGAGTACAGTGGTACCTCGGTTTTCGAACGTAATCCATCCCGGAAGACTGTTCAGGTTCTGAAACATTCAAAAACCAAGGACTCAACAACCAACAGCTAGGCCTCAGGAGCTTGCACTCAGCAGAAGCTGCGTGGAATGTTCGACTTCTGCAGTGTGTTCGAAAACCGAAACATTTACTTCCAGGTTTACAGCATTCGAAAACCAAAATGTTTGTCAACGAAGACGTTCAAAAACCGATGTACCACTAGATACTCTTACGTAAGATTACGTACAATTTTTCCTCTCATATTTGTATTTTTGCTTATATATTTCAGAAAGAGAGAAAATACACATCTCAGGAATAAGACATGCTTTTACAAAAGTAGTTCAGCTGATAAGACATGTGGGCTGCTAACTACTTCACTGTCAAATACTATTTATCTTTCTGGAAATGCTGCCACTCTAAGAGTCAAGGACTACCTTTGACCTGACACGTTGGATAAATGTTATCCTAGTCATCAGTGCAATGTTTTCCTGGTTGCAACTAAACACAGTAGCTTCTAACTGTGGGAAAAAAGAGAATATAATGCAAATACACACCCACTCATGATCAAGCTAATAAATATGCAACATCACCCAATACGCCTGTACTTGCGCCTACATTCAGGACCATTTGCTTTTATTTGTTTGTTTAAAGTCACTGATCTTTACCCATGCTGTTGAGTGTATGGGCCAGAAGATGACACATGGTCCTGAAAGCAACTCAACTGCATTGGCATGGCCCTGAGTGTTTATTAACTTGATCATGGAAAGCTGAAAATTTAGATCACACTTTCTGCTTTCCTTTCTGTTTCTTTTATATTTCAATTATAGTTTCTTTGTAAAGATAGCATTGTTTAAATTTTATGAAAAATGTTAATACCCACATTTAAAGTGCAAGCATATTCTGGTCTACTCAGAAATACATTCCACTGAGCTAAATGAGGCTTACTTCCATGTTAAGTGGTTGCAGGATTTTAGCTTTATTGTCTGATGATCTGTTACCAAGCAGATTGATTTAACACTTGCTTTTTATGTCAAAGGAAGAAATGGAGGAGAAAAGGCCAACTTTTGATGTCAAGCATTATAAACAGGCCCCTTCATGGATCACTGCCTTGCCGTGGTGAAGGGGCTTGAATAACTCAGAGAAGCTATGAGCTATGCCGTGAAGGGCCACCCAAGATGGACAGGTCATAGTGGAGAGTTCTGACCAAACGTGATCCACCTGGAGCAGGAACTGGCAAGCCACTCCAGTATCCCTGCCAAGAAAACTCCATGGACAAAGACAACAGGCATATAAAAGTTATGACGCTGGAAGATGAGCCCCTCAGGTCGGAAGGCGTCCAACATGCTACTGAGGAAGAGCGGAGGACAAGTACAAGTAGATTCAGAGCTGATGAAGCGGCTGGGCCAAAGCTGAAAGGACGCTCAGTTGCGGATATGCCTGGAAGCGAAAGGAAAGTCCAACACTGTAAAGAAAAATATTGCATAGGAACCTGGAATGTAAGAACCATGAACCTTGGTAAGTTGGATGTGGTCAAAAATGAGATGGCAAGAATAAATATTGACATCCTGGGCATCAGTGAACTAAAATGGACGGGAATGGGAGAATTCAGTTCGGATGACCATCATATCTACTACTGTGGGCAAGAAACCCGTAAAAGAAATGGAGTGGCCCTCATAGTCAACAAAAGAGTGGTGAAAGCTGTACTGGGATGCAATCTCAAAAATGATAGAATGATCTCGATACGAATCCAAGGCAGACCTTTTAACATCACAGTAATCCAAGTTTATGCACCAACCACTGGTGCTGAAGAAACTGAAATTGACCAATTCTATGAAGACTTACACACCTTATAGAAATGACACCAAAGAAGGATGTTCTTCTCATTATAGGGATTGGAATGCTAAAGTAGGGAGTCAAGAGATAAAAGGAACAACTGGCAAGTTTGGCCTTGGAGTTCAAAATGAAGCAGGGCAAAGGCTAATAAAGTTCTGCCAAGAGAACAAGCTGGTCATCACAAACACTCTTTTCCAACAACACAAGAGACGACTCTACACATGGACATCACCAGATGGGCAGCATCGAAATCAGATTTATTATATTCTCTGCAGCCAAAGATGGAAAAGCTCTATACAGTCAGCAAAAACAAGACCTGGAGCTGACTGTGGCTCAGATCATCAGCTTCTCATAGCAAAATTCAAGCTTAAACTGAAGAAAGTAGGGAAAACCACTGGACCGGTAAGATACAATCTAAGTCAAATCCCTTATGAATACACAGTGGAAGTGAGGAACAGGTTTAAGGATTTAGATTTGGTGGACAGAGTGCCTGAAGAACTATGGATGGAGGCTCGTAACATTATACAGGAGGCAGCAGCTAAAACCATCCCAATGAAAAGGAAATGCAAGAAAGCAAAGTGGCTGTCCAACGAGGCCTTACAAATAGCGGGGGAGGGAAGGCAAGCAAAATGCGAGGGAGATAGTGAAAGATACAGGAAATTGAATGCAGATTTCCAAAAAATAGCAAAGAGAGACAAGAAGGCCTTCTTAAACAAGCAATGCAAAGAAACAGAGGAAAACAATAGAATGAGAAAAACCAGAGATCTGTTCAAGAAAATTGGAGATATGAAAGGAACATTTCGTACAAAGATTACCATAATAAAAGACAAAAGTGGAAAGGACGTAACAGAAGCAGAAGACATCAAGAAGATGTGGCAAGAATACACAGAGGAACTACACCAGAAAGAAATGGATGTCTCGTATACCCCAGGTAGTGTGGTTGCTGACCTTGAGCCAGACATCCTGGAGTCAAATGGGCCTTAGAAAGCACTGCTAATAACAAGGTGAGTGGAAGTGATGATATTCCAGCTGAACTATTTAAAATTTTAAAAGATGATGCTGTTAAGATGCTACACTCAATATGCCAGCAAATTTGGAAAACTCAGCAGTGGCCAGAGGATTGGAGAAGATCAGTCTACATCCCAATCCCAAAGAAGGGCAGTGCCAAAGAATGCTCCAACTACCGCACAATTGCACTCATTTCACATGCTAGCAAGGTTATGCTTAAAATTCTACAAGGCAGGCTTAAGCAGTATGTGGACCGAGAACTCCCAGAAGTGCAAGCTGGATTTAGAAGGAGCAGAGGAACCAGAGACCAAACTGCAAACATGCGCTGGATTATGGAGAAAGCTAGAGAGTTCCAGAAAGACATCTACTTCTGCTTCATTGACTATGCAAAAGCCTTGACTGTGTCGACCACAGCAAACTGGCAAGTTCTTAAAGAAATGGGAGTGCCTGACCACCTCATCTGTCTCCTGAGAAATCTCTATGTGGGACTAGAAGCTACAGTTAGGACTGGATATGGAACAACTGATTGGTTCAAAATTGGGAAAGGAGTACGGCAAGGCTGTATATTGTCTTCCTGCTTATTTAACTTATATGCAGAATTCATCATGCGAAAGGCTGGGCTGGATGAATCCCAAGCCGGAATTAAGATCGCCGGAAGAAATATCAACAACCTCAGATATGCAGATGACACAACCTTGATGGCAGAAAGTGAGGAGGAATTAAAGAACCTTTTAATGAGGGTGAAAGAGGAGAGCGCAAAATATGGTCTGAAGCTCAACATCAAAAAACGAAGATCATGGCCACTGGGCCCATCACCTCCTGGCAAATAGAAGGGGAAGAAATGGAGGCAGTGAGAGATTTTACTTTCTTGGGCTCCATGATCACTGCAGATGGTGACAGCAGTCACGAAATTAAAAGACACCTGCTCCTTGGGAGAAAGGCGATGGCAAACCTAGACAGCATCTTAAAAAGCAGAGACATCACCTTGCCAACAAAGGTCCGTATAGTTAAAGCCATGGTTTTCCCAGTAGTGATGTATGGAAGTGAGAGCTGGACCATCAAGAAGGCTGATCGCCGAAGAATTGATGCTTTTGAATTATGGTGCTGGAGGAGACTCTTGAGAGTCCCATGGACTGCAAGAAGATCAAACGCATCCATTCTGAAGGAAATCAGCCCTGAGTGCTCACTGGAAGGACAGATCGTGAAGCTGAGGCTCCAATACTTTGGCCACCTCATGAGAAGAGAAGACTCCCTGGAAAAGACCCTGATGTTGGGAAAGATTGAGGGCCCAAGGAGAAGAGGACGACAGAGGACGAGATGGTTGGACAGTGTTCTCGAAGCTACCAGCATGAGTCTGACCAAACTGCAGGAGGCAGTGGAAGACAGGAGTGCCTGGCGTGCTCTGGTCCATGGGGTCACGAAGAGTCAGACACGACTAAACGACTAAACAACAACATTATAAATAGGACACAATAAGTGACATGTTGTACTGATTGTGCGCTGCCTACCACTCAAAACAGTCAAATCATAGTGGGTTGGGTCCAGAAGACATAATCTTGTCTCGCATCAGATCAACTGACCAACCTACATGGGAGAGGGTTGGGTGTTGTTGTTTTTTTACTGCTTTACAGCTACCTGAGCTTTGCACATGGAGAAATTCACCTTCGTGTGTGCAGTGTGATTCTCTGCACTTGGATTTAGAAGGAACTCCCAATCATTTCAATAGGATTTAGTCCCAAATAAACATTCATACAATTGAAACCTTGGGCTTACATGAAAGTAAGTCCCAGTGAACAGAGCAGAACTCACATCTAAGTAAACATACAGTGGATTGTGTAGTTAGCCTTCAAATAAGTAATATTGCTTAGTGTCACCGATATTTGTACATAGAGATGCCAACAAATCTCACAATTGCACTATCCTTCCTGCCTCTCCAGCAAATATAATTCTGTAGCACTAATGGCATGCTAGCTGCATGATCAAAGGCTTCAGAATATACTCCTAGTCCCAGCTAGTATAAAGGTTCTTATTTAGTTGCAAACCAGTATCTTAAATTATATAATCAACTAATGTGGATGTTTGATCAGGAAGAGCACAAATCATATGATACTCTTGATTTAAGTGATTTCAATTTGTCTGGTTTTGTGGTGATTTAAATCAATTCACCCTGCTTTTTGTAGCAAAATTTCTTGTCCTGCACTTTACCAGCAACAGCATACAATTTTTCATTACACTGAGATTTTTATCTGTGTAGAAAAGCTTCATGCATCAAGCATCCATTAATATACAGTCCTGCACACTGCATTGCAGAACAGATAAACTAAAGGCACTCAAAAAGGAATTGCTCTCTCAAGATGCTTGCCTTTTACAACCATGAACCAACCTAGTTTATAACTGCAATCCCAATTTACCTAAAAGGGAGGGATTATGAACATACTGGAACTTACTGTACTGTACTGTACACAAGTTTAGGACTGGGCAGCATGGATATCTAAGTGTTCCTAACAGACTCCAAGTACCTTTATTCCAATAGATCATTATTTACTAATTTCCTGTACTGGAGTACTTCCACACAGTTTTTACTGTTCCATCTTAAAAGGAATACTTAGAATCACATACAAGCAATTTCTGCAAGCTTCCAAAAGTAACAGAAGTAATGGGAGTACCACCATGTTTTCAAGCTAAATGAAATCATCTGATATTATAATTAATCCCTGAATCTACTCTCTTGTAACAGTTTAGCATGACCTGATGGTTGCAGTTAGGATATTACAGAATTATTCAAGGGCTTGATGTATACACTCCACTGAACAAATTCACACATGTCATATCAGTTTATACTCATAAAGGACTTGGAATGTAAGAATATAAGAATTCTATTAAACTAGTCTATAAGTTGAAGTGTATGGGGTATTAGGGGAGGGGTAGTACCTCTGGTGGGGGAAATGCTGTGCTCCTTCTGAGGTAGCTTTTCCACCTTTCATTCCCACTCTGCCACTCTGCACTCAGCTCTCACCTGTGGCTCCGATAAGATATCAGCATGTGACAGCAGCCACACCCCAGGTGAGGGTAGCCAATGGGTCTCAAGCTCTTGGTGAGTTAGGGACTCCCCATGTACAAAGTCAGCCTCCGGTGGTTGAGTGGATGAGACCAACAGTGGGTCCAATGGTCAAGAAGGTGGTTACTGCATGTGCTATCAAGGGAAATGAGGGGCAAACTGGGCTTGTCAACTCGGGAAAGAAAAGGGAAAAGGAAAACTATGATCCTAAACCTCTGCTGCCATTGCAATTCGTGAGAAAGGTACAGTGAAGTCCCTAAGCCTCGTATGCCTCCTTTCAGCAACTCCTGCAGCCAAGCTGGTGTCAAATATACTTTGTTTTCCTATGTACCAAATCAGCAAGGCAGAGAGGGGAGTCTTGTTGTCTGGGCAGCCCAGGACCTCCATACCTCCATACACACTGCTCAGGCTTGTGCCCCAGAGAGGTCACTAATAGCACTAGGTGTTAATACAGCAAAAGCAACGTGGGAGGCAGCTGTTACAAGTTACTGGTCTCTGCAGCCACAGCAGGTGCTGTGATTCTCCAGCGATTTGACTTCACCCCCAGAGGTGTACTCCATTGTCTCTTGAGACAGACGGGTGCTAATAATGACAAGTCTTTAGGTTACTTTTTCTCTGACTACTTAAAAGTTCCTTGGTTCCCTGAAATTCCCATGCAGAATGCCATTAAGAAAGCAACTGTAAGTGCTAGGACCAGACTCCTAACATGTTGCACCATTTATGTTATATCATTATTTTGTGAAAAGCTGCCACAACTAGGACAGCATGTCCCAAAAACAATAAAGAAGTTGAAAAACCATCATAAAAGATAGACCATGAAGGTATAATGAAATATTACACATATCTAAGAACATTAATTTCACACAGGTACTAAAACAATGAAAAAAGTAATAGAAAGGAGTGAGTTCCGGATGTCCTACTAAATTACAGAATCCAGATGTCCCTATGCATCTAGCACACTGAAATATGATTTTCCAGAAATGATTTACAGATGTGATTTAATGTTTTCCATGGTTCATCCATTTGTAGTATTACTAGATTTCATTATAGCAATTTTCAAAAGGGTGGGCTTGTTAGTCCGCTGAAGCAAAAAGCAAAGAGTAGTTATTTAAAGACCAGCAAACTGATTATGGCAAAAGCTTTTGTGGAGAGGAACCCATGTCACTAGATGGATGCACCAAAGGTCATGCCATAATAAAAGCCTTTAAGGTGCCACAAGACGCTTTGTTGAATTTCATTACTATCTCTTAGGAGTACCACTGTGATATCATTATCAAAGAATGCACACAGTCTCATATTCTTTTATGATCTACTGTTATTCAGTTACACTTTGGGGCGCTTGCTCCAAAAAGGATTGCTGGCTCAAATTAAAATGTTGCAGGTGCACTAATGCACAGTACGTTTTAAGGAGCAACACACAGGCACCTTTAGGCAATCTTCTGGTACTGTGAAAGCCACTTATCTGTAAACAGCTCCCACAGGGTTGGGAGAGTGTTTAAGTGACTGAACTGCACAGACGTGAACCAATTCCTTGGAGACACCAATACAATCAGCATCTGCCCACATGGTTCAGTCCTTTAAATGTTGTAGTCATTTCACATGAGCTGTTTACTCAGAAGCAGCTGTCAAAGAGCTGGGAGACTATCTAAGAGGGCATCACAGAATAAGGATAAACACAAACTGAAGAACACATAAGCTCAGCATCATAGCAGTAATCCCAAAGTAAGTAACTGAAGATGCAATTCTAAGCACACTTACTAAAAAGTAAACTCACAAGGTTTACTAAACCTCTAAAAAGTACTTAAAAATAAACTCAGTTACCAGATTGTCAACTCCAACTTTTTTTAAAGTTTGCATACCTCAGCCCTACACAGTATTACCTGGAAGTAAACCCCAATGAACTCAGTGGGGCTTACATCTGAGTAGGCATGCATAAGACTGCATTGGTAAGGTAATGTGTACCTTGGTACACATTGGTAATGTGACAAATGTAGAATCATAGAATTGTAGAGTTGGAAGGGACCACGAGGGTCATCTAGTCCAACATCCTGCAATGAAGGAATATTTTGGCCAACATGGGGTTTGAACCCACAACCCTGAGATTAAGTCTCTCCTGCTCTACCAACTGAGCTATCCCTAATTCAAGCTGCTGGTGTTTTAAAACACTTGCTTTTCCCCTTTATCACTAATAATATCACTGAAGAGTCACTCTAGTAAGCTGGATTTTTTCAAAGATATGTTTACACTCTGGGGGAAGCATAGCACTGCTGTTGATCTACATAGTTGTATGTTCTTTCTGCATGTTATGGGGGGAGGGAATTATAATAAGAGCAAACTACAAAGTATGGTTAAGATTTCCCAGCCCAAAAAAAACCAAACCTATTATGATCACCTATTTACAGATAGTAAGGCACACGTAAGTTTTTTTTATCAAGTCACATGATTAAAATATTTATAACATTCAAGAAAGGGTTAGCTGCAAGTTCTCTCCTGTAGCTTTAAAATTGTACAAAGATAGACACATGCTTTTTCCAAGAGTCCCAACTCAACAGTACCTACAACTTTCTTATAGGAAAATGTGAAGTTAACCCTCCCTATTTTAAATATCGAGGATTGTTGACACAAGTTTGAAAAACAGTAATGCTTTGGTACCACATAAATTTGAAAAACAGAATTGGCCCCTATAATTTTACTGAACCTTTATTTCCTTCTAATGGAGTTTTCTTTTGATGTTAGAAGGAAATGGGAGTTTTTTCTGATGCAGGAGTATTCTCCTTAAGAATTATTTTGGAATTCCATGTAAGGAATTTTTGAAGTTATGTGGAAATTTAAAAGCCATGAAGACTTTTCAGAAAAGCTGAAAGAGGCAGCTGGAATTTACTATCCTACTCAGACCAAAGTACAAGTTGCACTCAAATGTGCGTAATGGTTGATTGTAGCCCAAGAGACCTAATAAAACACTGCTGCCGGTGGGGCTAATCAACAGTGGAGGCAGCAGCAGGTAAGGATGCTTCAACCTTTTCCTGCTAATTTCCCCACACTAATATGTAGAACAATCCTATGCATGTTTTCCGAGTCTCATTGTGTTCAATGAGTTTAGGATTGCACCATAAATAGCTTTTCCTTTGTGTTTTAAAAGTTACGCTTTTATAATCCTGCAAGAAGCGGGGAAAATATGTCATTTGATGCAGGCAAAGATTTAAGAATCCTTTTGCCTCTGCACCTCTGCTTCAGATCAGATCTACAAAAGAATGTTGGATTACCATTATATGCATTCAAGTAATATTTGGCCCTTACTTATCTTTCCTGGATAATCAGCACAGACTTATGGTTCCCATATATTAAATGCTTCCATGGCAAACTTTTCAAAACCACTCCCATGGAGAAAAACAAAAATCTTTCAAACAGTTCTGAATGTCCAAGCCTATCTCCACAAGCAATGCTTTTCAATATCATTTGCATTCTCCCCATCGACAATTTGAACGCAAAACCTAGATTCGGCAGAACATATGTTCTATTCCCAAATGGCTCTCTAGTGCTTTCTATTCTGTATTAATGCCCTTTACAAGCCAGGCATCTGAGAGCAAAGGGCATCCCTTCGGGCACCCCCGAGCTTCTTGCAAAGAGCTACTCACCGAGAAGAGGGCGTTTTGGAGCCCGAAGGGTATCGGGGTGAGCCTGGCCAGAGCCACCACCTTGAGGCCACTTCCTCCCTCCACCACGCGGATGACAGCGGCGAGCTTCTCGCTGCCCTGGATCCTGGCCAGCACCCATTCCGCCAGCAGCTTCCTGCAGACCACATGGGAGATGAAGGTGCCGATGAGGACCCCCAGCACCATGAGGCCCATGCCCAGCACGAAGCCGTAGAGGTAGCCGGCGGCCACGTTGAGCAGGATGTAGCCCCAGCCGCACGGGAAGGACACCACGATGAAGCCCACGGTGAAGAGCAGCACGCCGGCCAGGCTGTCCAGGCTCTCGGCCCACAGCATCAGGTCCCGCAGGTACTGGCGCACCAGGGCGAGCGAGGCGAAGCACAGCGCCGCCAAGAAGCACGCGCTCAGGCAGCTTTTGCACCAGCAGGTGCCCAGCAGGCAGCCCGAGCAGCGCCACGTCCTGCCCTCGGACAAGCCGGGACCCACTTCGGGCAGCTGGCACAGCAGGATCTCCACCGACGGCTCCACGGAAGGGTGGTGGTGCGGCGGCGGCGGCGGCGGCGGCGGCGGATAATGGTGCAGCCCGTTCTGCTCTCCCCAAAACAGCCCCTCGGAGGCTCCTCCGCGGCCCGGCGCCTCGCCCGGCTCCGCCGCAGTCGCCGCCCCCTGCCGGGGCAGCCAGCGGTTCAGGTCCTGCCGGGCTCCCTGGGCGAAGGCGTGCTTGGCCGCCCGCGAGAGCAGCTGCAGCGCCGTCGCGCCCAAGCTCCACATCGCCCGGGCGGCGGCTGCTTCGGCGGCGGCGGCGGCGTCTACGGCGACCAGAGCGGCCGGCTGCTTCGCCTTCTTCCCGGCTTCGCAGGCGCAGGAGGAGGCGGCGGCCGCTCGCTCATCTCCGGCGCCGCCGAGGAGAAGCGAGGCTTGCGAGGCGGGCGGGAGAGCTTTTAAAGGGGGAACGGGCGGGCTCGGCAGCTGCGGCCTTGGCGGAGCAGGCGTCCCAGGGAGCGGCAGCAGGGCTCCATTTCCCGCCGGCTCTCTTCAAGGCCGCGCCACCCGGTCGCCTTCTTCGTGGAAGCACCGCCCCGCTCTGGGCTCCAGCCGCGGCGGCGGTGGGGGAGCCTCCGCGCGGAGGCGGCCGCCCGCGTGAGGGGGGAGGAGGAGACGACGACGGCGCCGCCGCCGGACGATGTGGCAGCGGGAGAGAAGAGGCCGGTGGGCGGCGCTGGGCGAGGGGGAGGGGCGCGGGCCTCCGCCACCTCCGCCTCACGCAGATACGTTATCTGCACACATTAAAGGAAACCCCTCACGAATATGTCCCCCTCAGAGAGAACAAACCAACGCCCCCCCTGACGAAAAGCAGCCGCTGAACGGAGGCTTCGCTTTCCACGCAGAGCGTCGCCCTCACGAATCGTCACCTCATCCTACCTCACGGTCCTAAACGAGTTTTCACGCGCAGAACACGGGTCCTGCCACGCAAACGCGTGAAAGGGCGTCCTCGTCACGAGTGGAGCCAACTCTTATGGTCCCTTCAGTGCCCGCCCTTTTCAGTAAAATATTTCAGGGGCCGCTCCCCTCCCCCCCCGAAAAATTGATGGGCATTGCCATTCAAATAGTGTTCGTGCACTACGCCTTGTGATCGATTATGCAAAGTATGTTCCCCCTCCCAATATTTTATTCAAGTTGGCACTCACACAAATCATGCTTTTTTTACATGCACTGCCCCCTCCCATGTACACAGCTGTGCGTTAGCCTCTGCATACCTGGGAATTTCACGCAGAATGTCCAGGATACTTGCTTCACAGATGATATATACATTATTGCATGCAGGCTGCTTATGCGGGTGTTTACATATTGTGCACATGGGCTGTGCACACATGGCACAGAGTCAATCCCAGCCCCCTGTCACCTAGTGACCCCCTGTCACCTGTCACATGGTGGCACACTGAGATAGTATGCAGGGTTAGGCTTGCTGAAGCCCATAGATTTCAGAGGATTCTGTTGCAAGGAAGAAACTGAGCCCCAGGTTTTGAATGGTGGGCACCAAACTCCCCCATTCAGCCATCGGAGGTAGTGATGCCAAGTGTGGAGTGTTTAACTCTCCTGCGGAAGCTGCTCAAATTTCAGTTGAACTGTACTTTTTGCATGTTGTGACATTTGTTTCCACTGTTTACTTCTCTTTTTGTTCTCTTCACACACGTGTATGCTGCCTCTGATGAAGTGGACTTTTGCCCACAAAAGTTAAAAAAACTCAGCGCAATCCTAGGCCAATGGGGGGGGGGCAGTGGGCCTTTTGACTCAGGACCTCAAGCTCAAAGGTGGCCTCCTATTTAGACGTTTGTTAATGTTTTGACATCTGGTAAGTTTCACAACTTGTTTCTCAGCTTGGAGCTGTCCATTTAAGCAAAGAAGATAATTTCTTTGTTAACTGTTACAGCTGTTGTCATATTAAAGTTTAAAATGTTCATATTAATAAATATGCATCTGTTCTCTTGGCACCATATTATACCAGGATGAACACGTCCTCTCAGATCAGCTGATATATATAGACAAACCACTTACTCTTTTGTGGTGCCTCCATTTGTTTTTGCATTTTTTATGTTTCATAAAATCATAGAATCTTAGTTGGAAGGGACCCCAAGGGTCATCTAGTCCAACCCCCTGCAATGCAGGAATCTCACCTAAAGCATCCATGATAGATAGCCATCCAACCTCTGCTTAAAAACCTCCAAGGAAGGAGAGTCCACCACCTCTTGTGGGAGTCTGTTCCACTGCTGAACAGTTCTTACTGTCAGAAAGTTTATCCAAATGTTTAGTCGGAATCTCCTTTCTTGCAACTTGAAGCCATTGGTTCGAGTCCTACCCTTTAGAGCAGGAGAAAACAAGCATGCTCCCTCCTCCATGTGACAGCCCTTAAGATATTTGAAGATGGCTATCATATCTCTTCTCAGTCGCCTCTTTCCCAGCTCCTTCAGGTGCTCCTCATAAGGCTTTGTTTCCAGACCCTTGATCATCTTGGCTGCCCTCCTCTGCACACATTCCAGATTGTCAACATCCTTCTTAAATTGTGGTGCCCAGAATTGCACACAGTATTCCAAGTGTGGCCTAACTAAGGCAGAACAGAGTGGTACAGTCGTACCTCCAATCTGTTAAGGTCATTTTGAATTCTGACTCTGTCTTCTGCGGCATTAGCTACCCCTCCCAGTTTGGTGTCATCTGCAGATTTGATGAGCATCCCCTCAATTCCTTCATCCAAGTCATTTATCAAGACGTTGAACAACAATAGGCCCAGGACAGGGTTTATTATGGCTAGGGGTAGCCTGGGCCTCTATGGATCTCTGAGAGGGCCTGGATCAGTCCTAACCATGTCTACTAAGATGTAAATATTGAATTCAATGAGGCTTGCTCCCATGTAAGGGGTTAGGATCATATCTGTAATCTGTAAGGTGCTACTGGATTTCTTTCATTACATTACACCCACCTAGCTAGCTACCACTCTGAAAGTGTAACACCTGCATGTCATGGATGCTTTAGCTGAGATTCCTGCCTTGCAGGGGGTTGGACTAGATGGCCTATGAGTCCCTTCCAAGATTCTATGATTTTGTGTTTCACATTTAAGTCAAATAGAAGCTTGGGTGAGGTGGGGCATTGGGAGTTCAGTTGGGGGAATGACATGGGTAGGCGGTTACTGCATCACCAACAGTCCTGCTGCAGTGTTGTTGTTAAAATGTGAGCGCTTGTTGACAAATCTCCTGTGTTGTCTGTTTGGGGCCTGAGATAAGGCAGTGCTCTGCCCTCATCATTTGCTTATGGTCCAGTTTATTGCTGACCTTGGAATTAGGAAGGTCTAGCTGGTAGTTCATTTAAAAAAAAATCCTGCTTCCATCCACAGACTAAGCTATGATTCTCCTGTATGCTGTGATTTGGATATTATCATAGGCTGTACTGTATTGGTCAATTGTCTGGATATAGCATGTAATTGCCGCTTATAGAGAAGTTGATGAGGACAATCACTAATGATCTGGGTGTCTCTGAGTAAAGAACTGAACTAGAGAACTCTTGAATCACTCCCTCCCCCACCCTCTGTATTATTATTACAGGATTTTCACTACTGGAGAATTTAGTCTGGGCTATACGTTACAGGGTGTTCTATTTTTCCACTCAAATGGTTAACTTAAGAAAAAGTACATACAGCAGATCCTGCCGAGAGTATGTCTCTCAGCAATACTAAATGGCTCACGGTGCAGTCCGCATGATGTTGCACACAGAAGCAGTGAATCAAATCCAAAGTTGATTTATAAGGGTACAATTTTAACAGCACTTACATGGAAGAAAGTGAAACACCCATGAATGAGTTGGGTTAGCCCAGTAGGGTGGACTCACTGAAGAGACAGAAGAGGGAAAGTGAAATCATTTTTTTTTTTTTTTTTTGCTGGGGAGTTGAATAGCATTTCTGGGCTCCTGTCACTTTTTATAATGGCTACGTCCTTCAAGCTGCAAGTCTGCCATTTGCTGCTGTTAGTCCCTGTTGCTTAGGGACTAAAGCTGTTTACAAAGGAAGAACTCTGAAGTATGTCCAGAATCTTGGTGGATTAGAAGATTTGTAAGACAAGCAATAATTTTCTAATTTTCTCTTTGCACTTGGAGAAACGATTTCATTGTTCGCATGTTAAAGCAAATTACTTACACATTTAGTTCTTTTGCAGCAGTTGCTGTAAAACTTTGTATAATTGTGATTATATATATATGATGCATAAGGCAGACAGCTGGGGTTTAGATTTGACCCTGCGTTCAATTTTTTTGGCGTGATCTGTCTAAACTTTAGGCTTATCAGTGAACAAAAAGAATAGTTTGTGGACCCAGCTCACAACTCCCCCATTGCAGAACATTTATTAAAAACAACATGAGGGCAGGTTTGTTTGTTTTTCAAGGAACATTCAGACCCTATCATAGGAGTTGAAATTGTAGCCCAAAACAACTGGAGGACACCAAGTTTGGGAATGCTAGATCAGAACATTATATAATACAAATAAGTATAAGGTATATAGCCTAAAGTCAAATTGTATAAAACCACAACAAGAAATTGAAACTAAATACGAAACCAAGCATGGTGTAGCCATAGGATCAAACACTTAAGGGATATTTTTTGTTTGGATTAAGGAAGATAACAAGAGGCAGTATGAAGCTACTTGGACATTATGATGAGTCCATGGAGTGAGGATTGGGTCATGCTCTCTCACCTCCTGTGCACAGTCAGCATAAATTCTGGGTCCCTTTGAGCAGAAACTGGGCCCTGAGTTGGGCACGCTGAGCCTTTATACATACAATTGCATGCATATCAGCTCTTTCAGAAGCTATGCAGAATGGAAGGAAGCATCAGGAGGAAGAACCATGCGGGTGAGTCTCCTCAAAGAGCTATGCTGCAATTAATGCACATGCTAATCTCGCTTACAATTTTTATTTCAATTGAAACTCAAACTATCATAGATTGATTTGGAAAACCGTTAAATGGATATGCATGGAAATTCAACCAACGGGAAGCGAGGAAGTCACTTAACAATGTTCTAAAAAGATTATGATTTGTGTTTGTTTGTTTGCTTGTTTGTTTATAATTTTGTGAAAATTAATTTTAATTTTTTTTAAAAAAACTATCTCATAGATTCTCGTCAACATAGATTCATGGCTATCACACCTTCATACAAATTGCCACCCATCTCTTAGCTTAGGGGTGGGGAACCTCAGACCTAAAAGACACAGGGCACAGCCCCAAATGATTAAAAGGGGCAGGGGCAGGAGATCTAAGGCCCAGAACAAATGACCCAGGGCATAGGACCCCTGGATCACACCCCACCCCACCAACAATCCAGGACCTGTAATTCTGTGTTGATAAAATGGGGGTCTGTTTACAAAAAAGAAGAAGACTGAAACACTTTCATTTGTGTTAAGCAAATAAGCCAGACCATGTTATGTTTCCGCTTTGAAATGTATGTCAGGGCAATGGGTTGCTACAGAAGCTAAATAGCTGAAGACACTTCAGGAATGTGAAAGAGAGAAGACGTGTCTTCTCACCCTCAGCTGGAGGGATATCTTGGTCTGCCTTCTACTAGTGTCTGCTTTGCCAGTACAATCCCCTGCAGGGAACACACTGACAAAAGAGCACCAAGGAGGATTGAACTTTCAGCTCATCAGTCCTG